GAGACTGTGTCCTTTCTCCAGAACCAGCACTCGGCCCTCTCCATCTGTCCTGGGACTCACTTTGGACTCGTGCCTGTGGTTTCTGCTGACTCACTGACCTGGTTCTCCTCCACCCACAGGTGAAGTGTAAGGACTGTGGAGCCTTTGGACACACAGCAAGGAGCCTCAGGTGTCCCATGAAGCGCTGGCAAGGGGCGCTGGTCCCCCTGCCCTTGGGGTCCAGACTCGGTAAGGAGAACCTGGAAGCACGGAAGCTGCAGGACCCACCGACCCCAGGGACCCCTAACACGGCAGAGAGAGAGGAGGAAGAAAGGCAGAGGTGAGTGACGGGGAGGTGAGACCCAAGGTCTGGGCTGAAATCTGGAGGCAGTTCCTCTCCTTGTCGACACTGTGATGGGCCATCTCTAGAAAGAACAGGGAAACTGGGGAGACAGAGACAGGAGCCTCGTCCTCAGGGGCCACACTCGGGCTCACACTATGCCTGAAGTCACGTGTGAGGAACATACACAACTTTGCACCTGACCAGCCCCAAAGCCATAGAGATGAAGAGACGGGACTTCCTGGGAGACCCTGGAGGGGTCTCAGGAGTTGGGGAAGGACATGGGGGTGTGCACAAAGGCAGCGGGGTTCAGGTCTGGTGCCACCCCCAAACTAGGAAAGGGGCTGGGCCACAGCACCGTTGTCCCAACTGTGCCAAGGACACTGGGTTTCTGACACTTGACCTGTTTGTGTTGCAGGAAAGAGGAGCAGCAGAGGAAGCTCCTACAGCGATTTCCCAGGAGGCCCCGCAGTCGGCAGCCACAGAGCTGGAAGGAGGAGCTGGAGCCCGGCCACTGCCTGAGGGTCAGTCTCTGCTGGGCCCCCTCTTTAATCGACTGGCCTCAGTCCTTTCTGTGGGAGGAAACCACTCACATTCTTTTCTGACCAATGTGATCATTTATTTTTCAGATGCCATTTTTTGTGGTGCCTTTGATTTTGCATTCTTACTTGCATATCTGGGAAGAAGCTGGCAGGGACATGGAAGTGATTTTATCAGTAGCTTCCATAGCAGAATCCTTTAAGTTAGAACGGGAATCTGTAAATTGTGATTCATCCTCCAAAACTGGACATGAAAACTCATTTTGCCATCAAGGCACCTGCAAAACACCAATCTGTGTACAGTCTCGAGAAGAAGGTATACCAAAAGCTTGCTTCCCTTTACTTAACAAGAGACATTGTTAGAACATTTCCATTTGCATTTGATGTATAAATGTATCAAGGTCACATGAGCACCCTGATGTTGAGTATCTTAGCATATAAAATTAATTCCTATGAGGTGTCTTCCTGGATGGAGAGATTCTCACACCTGGCCTCTCTCTGTGGTCTCCTACAGCACCCAAACATGCCCGTGCTTATCCACACATCCAAGAGGAAATCCCTCCAGGATCCAGGTCACCCAAGAGGGTCACCGACCAGGAAAGATAATGTGAAATCCACCCTCCCCGCAGTGCCTCTCATCAGCAGGAATTTGGTCCAGGCTTCTAAGGGCAGCATCGAGGCTCCAGGCAAGAGATCTGTCCAGACCCCCACCCTGACATGTGTGAACCCCCCAAAGAAACCTAGACTCAGCCCCGTCCAGACCCCCACAGAGAGCACTCCGACAGCAGATCTGGGGGCCTTCCTGAATCTCCCTCCTCCACCCAGCACAGCTGGACAGGGACCGAGAGTGGCAGCCCGTGTATCCAGGAAGACACCTGCCCAGGGGCAACGCTTTGACCTCCAGCCTCCACGGGACAGATCTCCCTCCAGGAGCGTCCGCGCCGTCTCCGCAGCCCACCCCCCGCCCATCATCCGCGTCCCGGGCCAGCCTCTCAGGATGCTCTTCCTGAGAGAGGGCGAAGGCTGGTGGAGCTGCCGGTACACGGCGCCCCCCTCTCCGCGGCCTGCGGAGCGGCCAGCCCCTCCTGCTCAGAGCCCGTCCGTCGACCAGGAGCCCGAGGGACACGCTGTCCCCGGGCCCCGGAGCGTCCTCTACGACGACCTCCAGGTGTCTTCTTCCTCTGAAGACAGCGACTGGGACGAAGACACCAGTGGCAACTGAGACTCGTCCTCCAGCCCCAGATGCCCTGACGTGACTGTGACTCTGGCGGGTGGGGTGGGTGTTACAGGGAGCGGCGGTTCCCGGTGAAGCAGGACTCCCCACCCTGGTGGGCGAAACAGCAGGGGGACCGGAGCACCCTGGGGACACAGCTGCACACACTGCACTGCCTCCTCATGGAATCCGAGTCTGTCACAGGGCACTTATCAAACTGAATGTCAAGCTGTCGGCCTAAATCTATTATAAGCAATTGAGGCAAATTCTAGGAGTAACTTTTAACCATTGTGTAAATAGCAAGTGATGGCAGTATCTGTAGTTGATGGTAGTAGTTGTATCTGAACATTTGGAACCTGCCTAAAGGGCCTGACTCTGCTCTGCAGAAGGTCAGCCACGCCATCCTGAGATAAGCCTAGTGGGCTCTGTGGAGTCTTTCACTATAAATCACAGTGGGGAAAATTCCCATGGCTGTGCTTACTATGTTTCATTAAATGTTACTATAAAGCTTTGTTTTAAAAAATTTCTGTGTTTACTTGTTTTCTTTCTGTGTTTTCTTGTTTACAGAACAAACAAGAAAAATTACACAATCATCTCAAGAGATGTAGAAAGATCATTTGGTCATATTCAACATCCTTGTCAGGCAGACCCTGTACCCAGCCCCAGCAGGGCCTTCCTTCTGCCCTAAATCAAATCACCAATAGGTCAAGATCCATTTTATATGTATATATAATTACATACTGTTGAATTTAATATGCTAATAGTTTATTAAGATCTTTTTTATTTATGCTCATAAGGAAATTTTTTATTTTGTTATTATGTATTATTTGATTTTGTTATCATGTAATGCTATGCTTCGTTGCTCAGTCATGTGTAACTCTTTTGGACCCTATGGACTGCAGTCCGCCAGGCTCCTCTGTCCATGGGGATTCTCCAGACAAGAATACTGGAGAGGGTTGTCATGCCCTCCTCCAGGGGATCTTCCCAATCTAGGGATTGAACCCAGGTCTCCTGCACTGCAGGCGAATTCTTTACAGACTGTGCCACTAGGGAAGCCCTATTATGTAATACTGGTATGAAAAACTAGTTGGGATAAGTTGCTGCCTTGCTTTTTAATGATAATTTTGGTAGGACTGATATAATGTCTCCCACAAATTTTATAAAATTTACCAATGAAAAAATTTCAATTTTAATGAAGTTTTACCATATAAAACATTTTGTTTGTGGTTTTTATCTCTAAGCCTTGAAGATCATCTTAATATTATTTTTACTCAAGATAGATCTTGTAATTGAGGGGAAAGAGGAGCATGGGAGGGCTTTATTAAAAACACAGAATCAGGGCCTCCCAGTTCCCCAGGGCCACTTATCACATTAAAAATGCACCAGTGTCAGTCCCCTGCATGGAGAATGTGGTCAGTCTGTGTACTGCCTACAACCACAGGAAGCCCCAGAATCGCCTCAGCCCTCATACTTAGGTGCCCTCTACCAGCTCTTCCTCCAGAAGCCTGGGAGTCCAGACAGCAGGCTTCTGAGTATCTCAGCAGACGAGAAAGTGTCAGTGACTGTTGTTCCTGGACCAACAGGGGGCAGCAGAGGCCACCACAAGTGGTTCTAGAAACTCCCTGACCCACCACCAGGCACTTACAGAAACTCCCTGACCCACCAGGCACTTACAGAAACTCCCTGACCCACCAGGCACTTACAGAAACTCCCTGACCCACCAGGCACTTACAAAAACTCCCTGACCCACCAGGCACTTATAGAGACTCCCTGACCCACCAGGCACTTATAGAGACTCCCTGACCCACCAGGTACTTATAGAGACTCCCTGACCCACCAGGCACTTATAGAGACTCCCTGACCCACCAGGCACTTATAGAAACTCCCTTACCCACCAGGCACTTAGCTACACTTGCTCAGGCTGAGGGTCACCACCCCCTTGCCTCTCAGTGAAGTAAGTGAAAGTCACTCAGTTGTATCCAACTCTTTGCAACCCCATGGACTGTATAGTCCATGGAATTCTCTAGGCCAGAATACTGGAGTGGGTAGCCTTTCCCTTCTCCAGGGGATCTTCCCAATCCAGGGGGTCGAACCCAGGTCTCCCGCATTGTGGGAGGATTCTTTACCAGCTGAGCCACAAGGGAAGCCCAAGAATACTGAAGAGGGCAGCCTATCCCTTCTCCAGCGTATCTTCCTGACTCAGGGATCGAACTGGGGTCTCCTGCATTGCAGGCAGATTCTTTACCAACTGAGCTATCAGGGAAGCCAGCTTGCCTCTCAGCACAGATCTATTTCCAGGTAAGTGTTCTTATCATTTACTTCAGCACTGAGGTTAAAATTATCGGCTACTCATGTGTGCCCACTTTCATTATAAATGTCATCATGGCCCCATGCTTTGTCTCTCAAACATTCTTGCTCCTCCCTCTCTATACACACACATTGTTTTAGTCTGGAACCTCAATTAGCCTCTATTACTGCAAAAGCCTTCTTCCAAATAGATTGCTCTGTCAATTTAATTATTCCCCTGGACTCTAACTTGGCACAGATTAAGGTGTGCAATTTACATTTGTGTGCTGCCTACAGGCACGCACACACACATACACCTAGATACACACAGAATGTTGTTGTCAGTCATAAAAACCAACCACAAGATTTACTCAGACAAGAGCAGTTGGAATACTCTAATGTAGACCTAGAAAGGAGCTGAGAGATGATCTAAGGTGACATTTTCCATTGAGTATTCCAGAATATACTCCAGAATTGGTACCTGGGAACTGTGTTAAAAATGCAGACATCCAGGCTCCACTACACCCTACCAAACTAAAACTTACTAAAGTGGGTCTAGGTGTCTGCATCTTGAAGCAGCTATCCCAGTTGCTTTCATGCATGATCGAGTGTCTCCTGATCAAGGTGCAGCAGATCTGAATCTATGCAGGTGCTGCTGAGACTCCAGGAAGACGGCTTTCTGCTGATGTCTGGACCTCTAGTGTGGGGCTGGCCTAGAGACTTGGACCTGAACCCTGACCTCCTGCCTCCATGTTCAGAGGTATGTCCATTTCCCTGCCCCACCAGCGTCTGACCTGCTGAGGTTCTGAGAGTAAATGACCACAGGATTCAACTTGCTCCTCAGCCCTGAGGAGCAAAGCCTGGTCTCAGCAACAGGCTCACAGCTCACTGGAGGCAAGTGTCTGGGAAGCAAACTCACATGCGTGTCCTGAGTACATTGTGAGCAGAGCACCGTGGGCCTTCCGACCCGGAGGGAGAAGGCGACTGACCGTGAGGATGGCCCGTAAAGCCTGGAAGGGCTCACTAATGTCTAGTCACTGAGGAAGCCAGCCCCGCTCACTGGACCTGAACACAGACGGCTTCTCGCTCAGACCCTTTCATCCGGGGCCAAACCATCTGTAGCTCGTGTTCCCATTTAACATGGTTTTCTGGTCCAAAGTGCGCGCCCACAGGCTCCCAAAGCTCTGAGCGTCCCACGAAAGGAGGATTCTCCGGCTTTGCGAAGGCCGCTTTGGGCTCAGAACAACTCTGCGCGGAGCCCTAATGAGGCGGAGGAGCACGGACATCCGGCCCCGCCGTCCCGCAGGCGCCAGAGCCGCGGGCGGAAGTGGCCTCTGCCTCTTGGAGACGAAGCCAGGCCGTGTCCTCTCTCCAGCATGACCACTGCTGTCCCCGTGTTCACCGTTCTCTTCTTTATGAGCCACGTTCCACCAGGTAATAACAACAACAAAACCTTGCTGACGCCTTGGTAAGGGTAGAGCGCCTGAGACCTTGAGCGGATCCAGGGATCAGAGCAACGTCGCCATCACCTCTGCCTGAGGAGGTGGGAAACCTCCTGGGAAACTTGGAAAGACCCGCAGCCTCCTGACTCAGTCATTCCCCACAGCGACTCTCAGTTAGACAACACGAGGTCAAGGGCGTTTCAAGGGTGTTTCAAGGGCTTGAAAGAAACCCTCCTGGCTCCAGCACCGAAGATCAATTATTTAGGCAAGTTTACTAGCAGTTTCTAGATCTATGTGGCAAAAATGGGGGCATTATTCTACTAAATTTTGGTCTCCAGAACTCCACTACTTCCAGCAAAAATTAGAATCCTAAGATACTTAATATGAGAGCTATGCCAAAGCTACAGGGGCCTGGCAGGTGGATAGGTGAAGGATCTCCTTGAAAGGCCACTCTGAGTCAGTGTGTGTGTGTGTGTGTCTGACTCCTGAGAGACCACTAACCCATTGCCCCTAACACTGCCGGTCTCCTGGCTTGATGAGGTCCCCGAAGGCTCCATCCCAACCCTGGGCTTCCTCTTCCTTTTCAACATCTGTTCTCCTGGAATAGAACTTAAACACAGGGGTGAAGATGGCACTGCAGTGGAGTCTATCCACCTGCATGCTGTGTGGTGTGCCAACACCCATCACAGGGGCAGGCACAGATGTTTATCTCCAGGACGTGTTGATCTAAGGAGGGATGAGCAACTCACTGCTCTACGTCAACAGGAATGTCTTATCTTTTCCTGAGAATTCGGGGTCTCAGCGCTGGGAAGGAGTCCGAAGGTACACAGATGGGTGAATGTGGACAGTCCTCGTATAAGGAGCTGTAATCCCAGCCCTCTCATTCATCTCAGATCCCTTGTGGAGCGTGGGGCAGTGGGTATATTTCACAGACAGGCAAAGTGCATGTGTGTGTACACACACACATACAGAGAATGTTACTATTCTGGGAATAGGGGAAAATGCAGATGAAAACCGTGAATACACAGCCTTACTTAGCACTAATCTGATCCCATAATTTTCCTTCTAAAGCCTGCTCCAACCATCAGATTCTTTGAGGCTTTAGTGCTTTGAGTTCTCATCCCCTGGGACACTTAATGCTGTCTTTATTTCAGTCATGTTTTATTTACCTCTGGCTCTCACTTACCAAACCTCTTCTTCATCCTCGGGCCAGAGTTCTACTTTGAGAGCTAGTTGACTCTTCCCTGGACTGTCTAGCCACGAAGATGACCATGATATGTTAGAAGTCAAGGGCCATCATAGTTTTTTTTCCTTTGGAAGCCTGCTCCCCAGTAAGGGCCTCCCATTCAGTGGATGCATAACAAATATCAATTAGTGATTGTTCTGTGAACAGTAAAGAGTTAAATTCAATTTAATCCATTTGACTTTCCTTTGAATTCAATGGACTTTTGTTGAATTGCCACAAATGCCCTACACTGATTTGAAGCTATTCAAGAGTTGGCTTTTGTGTTCTGGAATAGAAAAATCTAGAAGTGCTGGTTTTGAGACCTTTTTTAATGCCAGCAAAGAGTTTCAGAAACTGTCTTGGGAAAGGTGCTCTTTGTTACATATGGAGACTGCTGAAATGAAGCCGCTTTCGAAACTGAGCCCCTCATTGTGTGTGACCCATTTCCAGAACACTAATATATTAGGACATAAGTCAAATACAAATCAATGTTTTTAACAAGTATATGTGTTCAGCCCTTGAAAGTGAAAGTCGCTTAGTTGTGTCTGACTATTTGTGACCCTATAAACTATAGCCTGCCAGGCTCCTCTGTCCATGGAATTCTCCAGGCAAGAACACTGGGGTTGATAGCCAGTCCCTGCTCCAGGGGATCTTCCCAACCCAGGGATTGAACCCAGGTCTCCCACATTGCAGGCAGATTCTTTACCATCTGAAGTATTAGGGAAGCCCAAGAATAATGGAGTGGGTAGCCTATCCCTTAAGAACTCAATGTACACAACGATTCCTGCAGCAGTTTGCAACCTGGAAGAGCAGCACCAGGGAGAGAAGCAGTGAGTGCCCCCTCATGATTCAAGAAATGCTGACGTGGGCGCTATACATAGGTAGGAATATTGTTCCCTTCCCCCAGAAATATATCCTCTCTAATAATTTCCTTGTGTACATTATCTTTTGGATCTGTATTTCAGTTCCACTTTTGAAAGATACACAAACACACAGAAAGACAGATTTCTCTAAAAAGTTTTTTCTACTTTAGAAAAATGAGCAGTGTAAGACTCATAACAAATAAAGACTGACTTCTGCCATCAGTGTCAGGAGATGACAGGCAGTGAGAAAGACAGGAGGAGCTTTGATGTGTGTGAGCCCCAGAGCAAGGGCAGGGCTACCCATGAGCTGTCTTTCCTTTCTTAGATGCACTTAATCTTGCCAGATATTACAAGAATGCCCCCAATCCAAATTTTTTTGTGTGAAAGCAGATTTTTAAGGGACTCTCCCAGGTACTCAGTGGTACAGAATCTGTCTGCCAAACCCTGGGTTTGGAAGATCCCTTGGAGAAGGAAATGGCAACCCACTGCAGTACTCGTGCCCGGGAAATCCCATGGACGGAGGAGCCTAGCAGGCTACAGTCCATGGGGTTGCAAAGAAGTGGACACAACTTAGCAAGTAAACAACAAACAGATTTTTAAGAAAATCGAGTAACAATGAAAAATCCATACAAGCTTGTTTCCAGATATTCCTTCACTGCATGTAATTCAATAAAATTTAAGGAAACCAGTAAACAGTAACCATCACCCTCTCCTCTGTGCAGGCAGCGCCAGTTTCAGGGAGGTCTGTGAGCGTCCAAATGGGTCCTGCCAGGAATTCTGCCTCGACTCAGAAATCCATTCTGGGCGATGTCTGGATGGCCGCCCATGCTGCTTGCCCTTGGTGAACATCCCTGAAGTCGACCCCACCACACCCAGGGTGCGCTGAAGGCCTCCTGAAACTTTTTGTTTGTTTGGATGTTTTATTCTTACTCTCCTGACCTTTCACTCTTGCCTCTCTGTCTTTTGTTCTCACAGGGATTCTTAGTGAGTTCTCAGTAAATAAAGAATCAAAATTTGCAAACACAGAACCTGTTCTAAGAATCCTGTGATGTATCCTCACTTGGCCGTGGTTTGGTTTCCATCTTTTTATCTGGCCTGGATGAGCTCTGGTTGGGGGCAGGAACTTTGTCTCACCTCCTGTTTTCACCTGGCCCTGCACCCCTCTGCCCTTCATCTGGGGAGAGGAATCCCTTTTCCGACTTGGAGAATGCACCACTTCACTCCACGCAGCCTCATGGGGTCTCCCTTCCTGACAAAAGGGCAGCTCACAGGAAATCTTCCCGGACGTCACCAGCAAGCTGAATCACAGACAGAATGACGCCCAGATAAAAGACAAGATCTTCTCACACCCTCTTCACAGCCAGTGCTCTGGGTGCCCCTTTTCCCACATTCTCAACAACACTTTTTCTCTTTTATTTTTTGATAATAGCCATCCTAACAGACGGAGAGGAGCCTGGCGGGCTACAGTCCATGGGGTCACAAGAGTTGTACATGACTTAGCGACTAAACTACCACTACCATCCTAACATATAGTTAGAATTTTTTTGCATACATGGTGCAAACTTTTAAGATCTGCTCCCTTATCAATTTTCAATTAAACACTAAAATGTTGTTAACTATACACCGCAGGCTATCTATTAGCTCTCCAGAACTTATTTACCTTATAACTGGAAGCTTGTACACTTTGACCACCCTCACCCATTCATCCCACCCCCAACAACCATCAATCTATTTGTGGTTTCTATGAGTTTGGATTTTTTTTAATTCCACATAAAAATGAGATCATATGGTATTTGTCTTTCTCTGACTTACTTCAGTTAGCATACATTCTCAAAGTTCTTCCATGAAAATTTCCTTCTTATTTTTTTATGACCAAACAATATTCCATTCTGGGACACGTTTTCATTTATTTCTGCCTTCTTCAATTTCCTTTATTATTGTCTTATATTTTCAGTGTATAGATGGTTCAATTCTTTGGCTAAATTTGTTCCTAAGTATTTTATTGTTTTTGATGCTATCACAAATAAAATTGATTTCTTAATTTTTCAGATAGTTCATTTTTAGCATATAGAAATGCAACTAAGTTTTGTATGTTGATTTTGTATCCTGAAACTTTAATTCATTAATTCTAACAGTCATTTATGGAGTCTTTAGGGTTTTTTATTTTTAAGATCATTTCACCTTAATGAAAACAGAAGCTATTTTAAAAATAAAACTACCATATGATGCAACAAATTTTCTTCTGGGTTCTTTTTTTTTGAAGGACACAGAAACACTAACTCAAAAAGATATCTGTACTCCAATGTTCATTGCAGCATTATTCATAATAATCAAGATATGGAAAACTTAAGTGTCCCTTGATAGATGAATGAATAAGGAAAATGTGATATATTTAATATATAATGAAATATTATTAAGCTATAAAAACATGACAACATGAATGGACCTTGATGGCATTATGCTATGTGAAATAAGTTAAATATTGTATGATCTCATTTATACATGGACTCCAAAAGAAAAAACAAGCCCAAAAAACAGTGAACAGAGAACAGATTGGTGGTCATTGGAGTGAGGGTGTTGGAGGTGGGTAAAAGGGGTAAAATGGTCAAAAGGTACAAAGCTTCATTATAAAATAAATCCTAGGGATCCAGTGTACAGCATGGTGAATATAGTTAATAATACTGTATTGCACACTTGTCCTGCCAGGCATTCTGCCTTGACTCAGAAATTCATTCTGGGTGATGTTCAACACTTCAACACTTGAAAGTTGCTGAGAGACTCAATCTTAAAGTTCTAATTACAAGGAAACAATTTGTAACCATGCTTTGTTGTTCCATGCCTAAGTCATGTCCATCTCTTTGTGACCCCATGGACTGCAGTACACCAAGCTTCCCTGTCTTTCACTATCTCCCAGAGCTTGCTCACCATGCTTTTTGATGGATGTTAATTAGACTTATGGTGGTGATCACTTCAAAATACATGCATATATTAAATCATTATGTTGTACACCCAAAATGAATATAATATTGTATATCAATTATATCTCAATAAAATAATCATTTCTTTTTCAGTAACAACTAAAATATGAGGACCAAAATTCAGTAAGTATATAAAAGTCCTGGACAATACTAACAACCAGCTTAATCTATTTAATATTGTTTAAAACCTTCCCACAACAACAATAGAATAAACACTCTAAGTGTGCATTTAGAGATGTAAACTGTATTCTGGGCCACAAAATAGTCTTGATAAACACAAAATTATCTAGATCATACAAAATATGCTCAATAACCTTACTAGAATTAAACCAGAAATCAATATTCAGTACTTGGAAAGTTCCCATATATTTGAAAAATCAAACAACAAATTCTAGATAAAAATGAATAAGTATGCAACTTGAGTAAAATTAAAATTTGATATAACAAAATGTGTGGAATAAAGCTTACAGTAGCATTTTGAAATAAATTTATAGTATCCAAATGCTTATATAATCAAAGAAGAGCATATTAAATCTTTAATATTTAAAGCATATTTAATATTTATTAAAATAAATAAAGGAGGATATTAATGTAAATAACAAAAGAAATTAAACATAAAATCAATAGAAAATAGAAATGAAACCAAAAGCTGGTTCTTTGAAAAGATGAATAAAATTTATATGTCTTACCATTCTGATCTGAGAGAGAGAGTGCACACAGTTTACCAATGCCAGCCATGAAAGAAAGCACATTAGATCCTACAGATAGAAGGTGAACAATCAGACATTATTAGGCATAGCTTTATGTACATAAATCCAATAAGATCAATGAAAATGGGTGAATCCTTTGAAAAAAACAAACTACCAAAACCTCATTTAAGCAGAAATAGATAAAAAAGAAGACAAAACAAACTATAGGGACAGAAAGATAAGATGTTGTCAGGGGCTGGGAACAGGAGATGTCAGACACAGAAGAATATGACAGGAATTTTGTAGGTGATAGAACTGGTCTAGGTATTGATTGTGGTGGTGGTTATACAGCTATATGCACATTTAAAAATTCATAGAAATGAGCTAAATTTTAATGAAAATAATTCTATTGTGTAAGACACATCTCAATATGTCTGACTTAAAAGACAACACAAACGTCAGTTCTGTTGCTTTCTTCAGCTTTTAGAGCTCCCTTTGACTCCTAACAGCTTGTGGCTTCTTTTACTCAGGCTTTAATGTCAGGAGAGAATTCACTTACGAGAACCTGCTGCATTCCTCCACCCAGAACACGGTCTTCCAGAGTGACCACGGCTTCTGCCCCCAGAACCCTCCTGTACCTTTGAGACCTGGCACCACCATGGGGTCAGGTGAAAATCTGGAGGGGTTCCCGTCATGCAGAGAAGTCTTCATCATCATCTCCTACAGTCTGAATTATAAAATGGTGGGCCCTGATACTGAGTGATGGAAAAAACCCTGTCTGGCTCTGCTCCTGATGAGATCATATAACCCCAACTTTTACCTGGGTTCATTCAAAGTCAGCTCCCATCTGATAACCCTACAGCCAAACCTTGGCCCTAAGGAGTGGTCCAAAAGTAGAAGAAAAACAACCCGCATGAGGACTTAGATCCTATAAACCAGACCTCTCACCTGGAGAGGCTTTTCTCCCCAGCACACAGTTGCCAATGTCTAGAGATAGCTTCAGTTGTGACAACCAGAAAGATGCTACCAGCATCTATTAATAGTAGCCAAGAGGCTACCAGCCAAGGATGCTACTAGACATCTTACAATGACAGAAATGACCTTCAAGACAAAGAATTATCTGACTCAAAATATCAACAGTGCTGAGGTTGAAAAACTCTGCTATAGGCTTTGACACAATGATAAGAACCAGAAACCAGAAGGGGGTAAATATCCTGCCTCAAGAGCATGTTGTAGCCTCCCTACAAAAGCCCTAAATAGGTATGAGGACACCCACTCCCATAACTATCCTTCAGAATGGTGAGCCTTTAATTCATGGACAGGCAGCACAGGAAAGTGATTCTTAGATACTCCAGCATAACTGATAGCATTTTTCATTCTTATGTATTGCTTCTCTCTTGTTTTTGCTTCTTTTTCAGGGTCTAACCACCTTCTGGCCCAATTATCATCAGATCCCATTGCCAGAATGAATCTGATTTGGTTCATCCCCAGTTCAATATCCCTCCTTGTATTTCACTCTGGAACATTGTTTCCCTAGGTGACTTAAAATTTAAGAAATGCAGAATGAATTTACAACATAATCACTTGAAATATCTGCATGTTGGAAAAAAATCTGACTGCTTGAACTTTCTAACATTGCATCCACTGTGGCGTCACTTCCCCAGAGTCTCTTTGTTCCAGATGCCCCCTCTTTGACACCATGCTTCACAGGAACTCGGGGACCAGGAAGGTGCAGATCACATTTCCCAGACTCCTTTGCCAATTGACTTCAAGGATGGACTCTCCAGGGAGAGTGAGCTTGGAGAAGGGGGATGGACTTCCTCTCTCACTTTTGTTCCTGTCACTGTTGCTATAGCAACAATGGCTTGCATCCAGGAGCAACAGTGGCCTCCTGGGTCCACATTCTCATGGCGCTACAGAACCCATCTCACAATGTCCTCAAACAGGTGTCTGCAACAGCTAGTCGATGCCCCTTTTCATAGACCTGAGGATTGACTCTGAAAGGCCTCCCCTCACGTCTGCAGAGGCACCAGCATGGCTGGGCAGCATGCCCCCTCCTCTGAAGCCTGAGGACCACAGGAGTCCGCCCCTGGCTCCTGGCATCTTCCATTTTGTTGTCTCACTGAGGGGTGATATCTACTGCTTGCAGTTGCTTCTAGGTTCCCTCAGCATTCTCTTTGAACAAATCCTGATGTTAAGTCCCCTCTGTAAACCAAAGC